TTTGGTGTGTTCTGTAAGCGCACAAAAGCTTTTTTATATACACTTGCTTATAAAATATACGATATTCATCTTCATTGAGAGAAATATCATTACTTCATTCTAAAAGAAAAAAACACACTTCGCCACTCCGGACCATTGTTCTGACTGCCGAAGTCCGGTGGAGTGCGAGCGGAGTGACTATAGTGGCGAAGTGCGATTTCTCCCCTTGGATTCAACTGCCATTGTATTGAGAATTTCTTTTATGAAATAAAAAGTTTTAAAACGTTTCTTCGGTTTTTAAAGTTACTACTCTCAAGAGTCCCGATAAAATAACCGGTGCATGCCTAGTCTCTGCTGTTATTTCAGATCGATTATCACATAAATATCTTACTCTTTAATATATATTATAAAAGATAAATTAAAATGGTGTTTTTTTCAAGATCAAACACAAGTTTACTTTTACTTTTTAACTAAAAGTAAATATATGTCTGTACGATTACGTAGAAGAAGAAAAAGAAGAGAGAAAGAACGGCGAGAAAATGTTCCAGTCGATTAATCTCGGTAATACACATTTGTTCCTTTCGAGCAATAAAATTACTTTGCCATGTAAAAAACAAACAGGTATGAGTAATGTAATGACATGGGCGTGGTAACACGTTTCTTTTATCCCTGAGTGTGACGTGTTGTGTAAGCGCACAAGGTGAAAGCTCACTGAGAACATTTTTATTTGATATGATTGTCTAGGCGGCTGAATCCGCAAATTCTGGGGAGGGGAGGCGCGCTAATTATCCCAATTTCTGAAAATTCACGAACTCCGATAATGCGGGTCCATTGGACTATCACCTAGATTCGACTATCACGTAAGGTGGGGGCGTGTATAAATCATCTGATTACTTTTTTCGATGCAATTATCCTCTTGTCTCCCTGAATGACCAAGTATAATGGTCAAAAGTTCTTTTCCCAATTTTTTCTGATGTAATTTCTGATACCTCTCTCATGCAACATCAATAGCAGGGTGACAGTAAGAAAAAGGAATAGTGCTCTTCACTAAAATTCTTAACAAAATCTGAGAGTGGGCAGCCAATCGAATAGTGAATAATGGACGCACCTGGTAGTTTGCTCAGTTGTGTCCCTGTGATCGTGTAAGTGGTCAACGAAGGACAGTATGAGATGCTTCAGAAATAGACATTTGTGGATAGGTTTCTTACACAGATTAGAAAAAGCTGTTTTTTTTAATATTCCTATTATCATTCTCAACCACAAGAATCCACTTCTTCGATTGTCGGACCTCTGTTACCCTTAACAGTTCGACCTGATTCTCCGGTCGCAACATCATCACTTTGACATAATTTGGCCATAATAGGCGAGCATAGTGTTTCTAATTCTTTTAATTTATGTTCAAATTCATCTTTTTCGGCTAATTGATTCGTTGCTAACCATTTTAATGGACCATCAATCGTTTCCATAACTTTTACTTCATCATCATCATTAATTTTTGCTACTAATGTATCATCATTCCTAAAAACATAGATAAAGAAAGAACAAAACGTCGCTATAGTTACTAGAAAGTATAACTTACATTGTTGCTTTCATATTAAAGTACAGTGGGCATTTTTTGCTAGAGCAGGCGGACTTTAGCTTTATAAGTGAACTAAAATTTCATGAACCAAACCCTTCAGAAAACTTTCTCAATATTTAAAAACGATGCCACTGGAAAGAGCATTGTCGGAAACCTCTAAGAAACATGTTTCGAGTCGTTCAGGTTACTTTATCTTGAAATTCAAATTTTCGGCACGAAATTGTTTGTGTGAATCTCAAAAATTAAGAAATTTCTAGAATTCAAAATCAAGCGACCGAAACTAGATGAGTTATACACCATTCGATGCAGTTTTTCACGCTGATTCCACATCCGGGCTTGTTTGTACGAAAAAGTGCTTTCTTAACGAATA